CCTCTGTCATCATATTCACCGACTGGGAGTACAGCCGATACGTGGATCCGGCGCTCAGTCTGATTATGGTGTGCATTATAATGAGCAGCACGTGGTCGCTGTTGGTCGAGTCGGCCATGATCTTGCTTCAAACCGTGCCCACACATATACAGGTCGACTCCCTCCAAAAGAAACTGCTTAACGAGGTACGTCTTGGTGTTGGGTTGGGAGGGGTGGCTGAGCGTATTAATTGATATTTAGCAGGGGTGGAGGATTGATGATGGTGACAAATGTTTGAGTAAATTGAATCCAATTATATGTTTTGTTAGACTATTTGGCTGACTTTTGTTTTACCTTGAATAGAGTTATTTGAGATATTTGTTTATTATATCGCGTAGTTCATTATTTATTTTATATTGTGTACTAATAATAGAAATACACTAGAATAATAGGAATAGTATAGGAATGCACAGTTATAATATATTATATCTATTCTGAAATTAATTAATTTAATTACAATAGTTTTTCCTGTCTTTTGAGACAAATAAAAGTTATTTTTGTATATATTTTTGTACTGGAATAGCGTTTGCATTAATATTAGTATTGATTTAGTAATTATATGTTTAAGACTTGAATAGAAATGTATTTTTTATTATAATTATCTTTAAATTAGTTTTTTATTGTCAATCATCTCTTCTTTCGTCTATTGTTTTGGAGTTTTTTGATTAATTTTTTGTCAAATTTTTTAATTAAATTTTTATGTAGTTTTTGATTAACAAAACAAATGCCGTAAAATGTTTTTGCTGTTGTTTTAATCCAATCATTACATGTCTTAATAGATATAAATGGCAACAGAGAAAGACATTGTTTTGTATTGTTTAGACCAAGTATTCTCAATGGGCAAGTTTTATGGAAAACACTATACTTTTATTATTAGATTGTATTGAAATGTTGAGAACTCTCGATATGTTTATGCCATTAGATTTTAATGGTATTTGTATTTTTAGGATTAGTTTTGTTGCCTATTGTTTGCAATTAGTTTTTATGTTTAATGACATTTTATGACAGAGTTTTTTGTGGGAATATTGCTTACAAATTAACTATTTTCTTATAAATCGATGTTATTTTTAGTCTAAATATTTAATTTTACGAAAAATAACTAAAAATTTAACTTTTTATAAATCTAATTTGAATTAAATATAGAAGCAATTGATATTTAAGTAGAAAATTATTGTTTGAATTGATTTGTAAAAATAGATTGTTATAAAATTTCAATGAACCGAAGCACCATAAGAGATGATCAAATAACAGATAGTATTGGTTGAAATTGATGAGCTAGGGCACATTTACATGGTACGTGAACAGTAGGTTACTAGTTATTAGGTAATTTTAGCTATAAATAGAGTTAATTATATTTATTTACGATCAAATTGTCAATTAATTTCTTATTTTTATAATCAAAAATTGTTTAATTACCTGAATTAATTAAGTTTTATGATTGAATTATCTAACGTAGATCGACGGTGTGTTGGCTGTGCACGAGTTCCACGTGTGGCAATTGGCCGGCGATCGTATCATAGCGTCGGCGCACATCCGGTGCCGGAATCTCATTGATTACATGCAAATCGCCGAAAAGGTTAAGGAGTTCTTCCACAACGAGGGCATCCACTCGACCACAATTCAGCCCGAGTTTGTCGAGTTGGCCGCCGATCACGACCCGGACCTCGACGACAGCGGTGTCCACCGGTCGGGCCAATCGGACGGCCCGTACGGTCCGGACAGCGCCTCTACCTATCCATTGACCGGTGCCGTGGACTCGAACTCGTGCTACTTGGCCTGTCCGCCCGACCAGCGGACCAACTGTGCGCCCCAGACGTGTTGTGGCCCCCAAGAGCGCCGCTCGTCGCCACCGCCGGCCCCGTCGGCCGTAACCTGTGATGAAAGTGTAATTAAATAAGTGCTAAGTTATGGCATAGGCTTTGCAAAACCGGGCGCGAGTCTAGTGTTGATTTTTAAATTAATTTTTTTAATTGTATATTTTTAATGGCTTTTAACAAACATATAAAAAACTGGTTAACCTTAAGCGTTAATATCAAATATTTATTGGTATTAAAAAAGTGTCTAGATTTTATTACGATGATTGTTTTTTGGTTTTTTGTACATTATTTATATGACAGTTATATTATTAAAAATAATATATAACTACAGTATACATGTAAGTTATGGCATAGGCTTTGCAAAACCGGGCGCCGAGTCTAGTGTTGATTTTTAAATTAATTTTTTTAATTGTATATTTTTAATGGGTTTTAACAAACATATAAAAAACTGGTTAACCTTAAGCGTTAATATCAAATATTTATTGGTATTAAAAAGTGTCTAGATTTTATTACGATGATTGTTTTTTGGTTTTTTGTACATTATTTATATGACAGTTATATTATTAAAAATAATATATAACTACAGTATACATGTATAATGAAAATTTATATAAATTAAACAATATAGACATATTTCATCTACATATAAGTCGAGATTTAAAGCTGAGATTATTTGCATTAATATTGAAATTTATGTGAATTTGTTCAAAACATTTTGTAAAACAACAAAAACAACACATTTTTGTCAATCAGCTTTCTACATAAATTAAGCGCTTTATCTGTTATTTATAATGTCGAAATATTTAAATGTTTTTTTAATTATCACTATAGCTTTTTAATGTGAAATTATTAAGTTAATATTCTACTCAGTTCGTTGAGATAAATTTTTACTTACCTATATCATTGTCATTTTTTACACGTAAAAGGGTTATATTTATAAAAAATTGTTTTTAAATTTACCTAAATTTATTAATCAACACAAATGGCAAAGCCGTTCAACCAGTGTTTATGATACCACCCAATTTGGATCATAATGAAAATTATTGTGCGCACCGGGAGTGACGATGTTTGGCGGCCAATGGGGATGTTTGACGGCCACAGGGGTTAATACATTATAGCTAACAATATGATAGCTGGGCCTGTATTGCCACAATTGCTGTGTGTTGAACACCATATGAGCCATTAGATTATTTCTGGTTCGGAGTTTTGCAATAATTATTTCTAGTTTTAATTAGATTTTATTAATATATGATTAAAATATAATTTAGATATAGATATAATGAAAATAGTGTTAATTCTTTTATATTTGTAATGTTAGTAAATTAAACTAATGTTTAACAATTTAAAAATACTAAACTAGTACTTAAATTATAAATATGATACTGATTTACATTTATTCATTTAAATAAATAACTCATATTAATATAAATTAATAATTAACAAAATTTTGTTACGCTTGTTTGTAAATAAATAAATAATTTCAATTATTAATTACACCGCAATTTAATTATTTATATGTTTCAATCCTTCTAGGGCCATTTTAACTTTAACCACGATGACATAGCACATTTGAAAGTATTTTGGATTATGCAAAGTACATGGTCTATTTAATTTTAAATACATGTATTAACTGTACTATTGAGTACTTTTAGCGTTAATAACGCTAATATTGACTCTATTTATTAGATTAATCCATTAGGGACCAAAGTTACCTTATGTGGCCAAATGAGTACTGTAAAGTATGTGTTTTGCTTTAAACATAAAAGTATTACTGTAGTACTCATTGAATTAATTCAAATTAACAATGATTAGTTGATCATGCAGGGTAATTTGTTAGTCTAAAATATATTAGATCGTAATCAATAAATTTAGACAATTAGACAAACACAACAAAAGATAGTTGCCGTAATACACCTAGTGCATTTTGGTGCTAAAAGTTGTAGGGATTGAGATTATTACGAGAAATACAATATTACTTATAGATATACTGTATCATGATGAATTTCAGGGTTTCTATGGCCTAATTATCAATACAGTTAAAAGTTTTATAAACACATGATAAAGCTTGGGTCACTGATAAATTATTGGTTAGTTGATAAACTTAAAAATAAAATTAAAAACTAATTGTCACTATAATCAAACTATAGGTACTACAGAATATATAACTATCTATAAGATATATAATAATTTGATACTTATGTTAACGACATCTAATTAAATAATTTATCATTAAAAATGATATAATTGTTGAGGTTTATTCAGTACAAAACGATTAATACAGTGCAAACGAGTATATTCTATGCTTATTGTACTTTATAGAAAGATGTACGAACAAGGTTACAAAAAATTATCATTATACAGACTATATAATTGGTATGGAAAAAATATAAGGAAACCTTTAATAAAATCAATTGCATTTTATATTCATTTCATGAAATAATATATTTTGATTTTAAGTTTTGCTAAATAAAATGTTGACAAATAATGTAATTTATGTATTTACAGCTCTAATATCATCGCAATTAATATCGCAAATAAAGTGCACCGAAAATGTGAGCGTTAGAGTGACTAACGGTTTAATCAGTGGACAAGTGGACGAGTTTAAGGGCACTAAATTGAACGTGTTTTTAGGCATACCATACGCTGAGCCACCAGTCGGTCATCTGCGGCTCAAAAAGCCTGTGCCGGTGAAGAAGCCATGGCCTCAACCACTGGACGCCACCCAATGGCCCAAAGCGTGTATTCACGGAAAACTACACCAAAACTATTTGAATGCCGATATGAGTGAAGACTGTTTATACTTAAATATATGGTCACCAGCTTTGCCGGAATCGTCGACCACTGCCCTAAAGCCGGTGATGTTTTGGATACACGGGGGAGGAGTGTTGTTCGGGTCGGCCGTTGAAAAGTGGTACTCCGGACACGTGCTGTCGGCTATGGGCGATGTAGTGGTGGTCACATTCAACTACCGTCTCACCACATTTGGCTTACTATACACGGGTGCCA